TGAAAACAAAATTTGTACGTGTATTAAAGCTTACTTTCTAAGGCCTCCACTTGGAGGGTCTTAGCTAGGAATATTACTCTTTATCCGTCATTGAACAAGCATGCAGACGTGGTACAGGATGTTTGCGTCTACAAAATATTGTGCAATACAGGATTTTGTGCTCTACATAACGTGAATCGCTTTCAGGTCCGTGATTTGTATAAGAAACAAAAGGCGTCTTCGGAATAGAAAAAGACAGACAAATAAATTTAAATTACAACTTTTTTCATCTTAACATTGAACAAAACAACATACAATGAAAATTAGCCTCCTCAAACAGACTGTCAATGATGATGGACACGTGGCAACAATAAATTAACATAAAATATTTCATTTTGCCATCTCTTCAGTCCTTCAACAGTGCACCGATTGACTTGTAGAGATGGACTACGATGTTTGAAACCTCGTCGGAGAATACAACAGAATTTCAGATCTCTATCAGTTATGCAAAACAGCATGAAAATTACCCACTTTAATTCTGGGGTCAGTATGCGAACATGTCTCTTAAGATGGCAGTATCTCTTTCATCAAACGACAAATAGGTTTGATCTCGCAGCGTGTGCACTACACATCTAGCTCATCAATTTGAAAAGATTCCAGCTAGCGTTAAGGTATTTAGTGCTGAGGAAGCAGAATTACAATGTAGTTCACGCCCGAACTCTAATTGATTCGAGCAGCGATCAAAGTACGCATATCGCGTGTTTCTCTCAACTTGTGTCGTATATCGGCAAGTTTGCGAATGCATTGTTCGAGCGTAGCTTACGTCCTTAATTCAAATATTTTTCTTTAGCAAACCAATCAACCACGTTTTGCTTCCGGAGCGAAACTAACGCTGAAAATTGATCTTATACCCTTTTCAATAATCGTTTCATTGGCATTGCGTGAGGTCAAACCAGATGGTACAAGGCTATTCCTATATTTAGTGTCATGATCTTCTCGCCGACCGTTTCATCAGGATCATTGTTGTGGAACTACTCTTTTGTAAAACAGCTGCCTAACGCAACATAAAATGCTGATCACAGACCTATTGGACAATTTAACGAGAAGAACGTGTCTGGCTCGATGTACTGTAAAAATCCTACTTATTTACTCCTTTCCTTAGTCACGCTCCAAAACGCTTTCGCTGCTTCTGAGACGCAAGACCACTTAATGATATATGTTATTGATTAAGTACATGGTTAAGGTAAAGGAAATTGGCCAACGCACTCTACTTCATGCGGATTGATCATTTTCATGTCAGTGATTCATAGTGATATCAGCCCAGGAATATCAGAAACGAAATTTATGTTCTATTAGACATTTCTTTTCTTCAGTCAAACTTATCATTGAAGAATTCATTTTAATGTTTATTTCCTCCCGCCTAGATTGGCTTCGCTATTTTGCAAGAGGGATTAATAAATTTTGTTGATTTTGTCGTATATTCGTGTTATATTATTGTAAAGAAAGTAATATTACGATGCAGCCAACGCCTCATTTTCCTCGTTTGATTCTAACTGTTATCAAAGTAACTGGAGCAGATGCTTCTCTCGCCTTGTGTCGCTGATCGGCAAGTACGCTAAGATGCAGGTCTTACCCTAACTTGAAAGAGTTGGTGAGAGACTCGAACAGCAAGTTGCTAGAAATTTTACCAACAGGGACAAGAAATGCATCGAACGTGCAGTGATAAATAAAGGTGATTGAAAACTAGACTCAATTTAGTCAGGGTGTCATCGCGTTGGTCCGTAACTTGGAATCCATAGACGTCGCGATGAAACAATGTGAAAACATGTAAAGCTAGCAGAGCGAAGAAGAAAAATAACAAAACGAAGCCATCCGAAGCGAGACTACACGAAATCAACTCCATGTGGGGAATAGGATGATAAATTTTTTCAAGCGCTTGCATTTTATGTTCCGTAATATCTTGTAAACACCCACGTTTTCGTGTTCTACAAACCGTTTGATTAGTACCTAAAGGTAGAGCAGTAAAAGATGAACTTACCC